TAATACAAAGCCAAACAAAAACAGTAACTAATCTCATAGATACAGCCAATGCATGTCATAGGGATCTTTAGTACCTCAATGAGATTTAGGAATACTTAACAAAGGAAAGACAGTGACTCTTCCAAGTACGCTAAAATTCTGTAAAAGTTTAAAAGTATCATCTTAAGAGTTTAATAGGATTAAATGGTAATCATATTCCTTACCTAGTGTTTTGCTTTGATATGTATACTGCTGGATCAAATGCTCAGAGATTAGACATGCTAAAAACAGTAGTTATTGGGTTTTTTAAATATAAAATTGGGACAGAAACAAAAATTTTAGCAGGACACAAACACAAGTAAGTTTCTGTCACTGCCTATCAGCTACTTTCAACCTCAGGCATACTGCCTGGGAAATTCAAGCCTGTGCAAAATTCCTTATGCGGTTGATCACAGAAAGATCTACTGAGTAAACAGTAGTGTCCCTTATTTAAGTTGCATGCATTAAAAAATGGCATTTGCAGTACAGACTGCGTGTCTCTTATCCGAAATGCCTGGAACCAGAAGTGTTTTGGATTTAGGATTTTTTAAGATTTTGGAGTATTTGCATAAACATAAGGAGATATATTGGAGATGAGATTCAAGTCTAAACAATACTATTTCTGTGTACATTGAACTATCAGGAAGAAAGGGTGACACTATCTCAGCCACCCATTTGGACAATTTTGGAGTATTTTGGATTTCAAAATTCTGGATAAAGGATACGCAATCTGTATGTTAAAGAAAAAGTGTAGTATGTGTGAGTCCTCCACTGCCCTTGAGTCTACATGTCTATTTCTTTCTCAGATCTTCAGGTATAATAAAGGTCTGAAGCCTATTGGTTAGTCCCAGCTAGAGCAAACCTTTTGAATAAATTGTCAAGTGGTGAGTCAATACATAAATGAACCCCATTTATTCAGTGGGTCTACTGGTGTAGTGGTTTGAGCACTGCACTATCACTCTGGAGCAGGGGTAGGCAACCTTTCCCCTTTAAGGGCCGAGGGACTTCAGCTCCCAGAATCCCAGGAGCTATTGGCCAACATGGCTGAGGCTTCTGGAAGCTGAAGTCCCTCGGCCCTTAAAGGGGAAAAGTTGCCTACCCCTGCTCTGGAGGGTTCAAATCTCTGCTCAGCCTTGGAAACCCACCAGGTGACCTTGGGCATGTCACATTCTCTCAGCCTCAGAGGAAAGAAAAGGCAAACTCCCTCTGAACAAATCTTGCCAAGAAAAGCCACCATAGGGTCACCATGATTCAGAAACAACTTGAATGTACACAACAACAACAACAACAATTTATAATAGTCACAACAGGCTATTATAAACAAATATCCAGCTATAGAAAATCCCTCTCCTTAAGGCAAGTGTAGGCAAATATGATGAATACCCTCCCTTTCACACATGAAAACCTGGAAATGTGTGGTCAAGCAACATCAAAGTGTCATCAAGATGGCAAAAGTTGAAGAAGAATAGAATCAGAATCATAGAGTTGCAAGAGGCCACAATACACAAGCTGCAGCAGTTTGCTTCTGCCTGAGCCTACTGGAAAGGGCAAGATTCTGCCCCCTTCCGCTGCTGAGTTAGAATAATAGAATCATAAGAGTTGGAAGAGGCCTCAAGGACCACCCAGTCCACCCCCTTGCCATGCAGGAACACTAATCAAAGCACTCCCGACAGATGACCATTGGATATAAACTACTTTTGCACTTTGAACTCAATAGAAGTAAGCTGAAGACAAGGGGGAAAGTGGAAGGAAGAGAAAGCAACAGAAAAACTGGGACAATAGAAGATTAATTGGGACTGTCATTGCCAAATCAACACAGCTGGAGAGTATGGTGATATCACTGAAAGGAATAAAATGTGTGCTGATACCCTGCTATATTGGTGCAACTATTCACTTGCTAGGAATGAGTGCTTGGAGAAGCTTCTTGTGCAACTGTTACATGGTGAATGATGAAAAGATGTGAGTTGAGTTGGTAGTATACCTGCATTTACTGATGATTTCTTGTGTGCTGACTACTTACTTATTTCTAGGCACAGTTCAAAGTGATGGTTATGACCTACAAGGCTCTACAAGGGAACGTATAGGTAAAAGTGATGCACAAAGGGAAACCTTGGTCCCATTCCTGTCTCTATATGAAGTTGTTTTAGTTTATGTAAGCTGGCTGCTGTTGATATCATTACTACTGTTACTAAAAAATTTGCAGCCACCACTTTCTCTGCCTCCCCGCCTCCTAGTACTGTTAAGCAGGGGATAGCTAGATTTTTTTTGCCCTTCTACCTTTGCTTGATATGCATGACCTTATGGTTAACCTCTTCAGGCAGTCTGCTTCAATGTAGAAAAGTCCATAGGACACTTCTCCTAAAGTTTAGCTAAAATTGGCTGTCCTGCAGTTTGCACCCATTCTGGTTCTTTTCCATGGATCAATGGAAACTAAGCCTCCTCCATCTTCTTATGCACAGGAATACTTCTGTCATGTCTCCCCTTAATCTTCTTCCTCGATTTTCTCTTCCCCAGGCTGAACATACCTAGCATTTCCCATAGGACCTTTAATGTGGTTTTCAAGGTTCATCAAAAAGTTTTGGGGGGTGTTTTTGGAAATGAATGGGAGATCAGAAGGAAAAGCAGAAAAAAGAACCACAGGAAGTTGGCGCTGATAACACAATGGAGTAAGCAATAATCAAAAGACAGGAAATTGTGGATTGCTCCATGTAGTTGCTATGAAGCTTCATTGGTTAGATAAGTTCACACAATTATAGATTGTTCTCCATATCCATGATTCATGTAATAAAAATTCCTGATCCATGGAGGCTAGACAGTTGATGCCTTCTCTTTAACAACGAAATGATGATCAGGGTGTCCAAACACATTCAAGGCTTCAGATAATGTGCTTATGTGGTAACAGTACAAATGCACAGGATGTTTATGGACTTGGTTTTACTACCAAAAACTAGATGGAACTTCAAGGAGATAAAGGTTTCCGCTTCCATAGCTGGTGTACAAATGAAGATTCCTCCATGTTGGCTACATTCCACCTAACATGATTGCTCATGTAGGGAAGATATATTATTTGACAGATACATGCTGTGACCTACATATTTCAATGCATATGTTATTTAGTGTTTTTTAAAAACCACTTCAAGATTCACTTCCAAGGTGCAAACTGGCACAAGTTCACTGATTTTTTTTAAACACCCTAAATTCCCAAGCTTTAATCTTTCCAGGACACCCTGTTCTTTCAAGGAATGCATATCTATAGCCATAATTTATACCAGGATTTCTCTCCAAAAACAGAAGTCGCATACTTCAAAGGAGTGCAGATTTTATGCCTGCAGAATCTAATTTAAGCACAACAAAAACAAGTAGGAAGTATTGTAGCTACATAAAAATCATTTTTCATTTAAAGATATTATATGTTTTGATACATATTATTTAAATTTAGCAAGATAGTATGGAGCAAACAGGATAATAATTAAAGAGGATTACTTTCTTTTATGGTTTTTCAATGGTAGATAATTCTTGTTTGCCTTTTTAAAGGTATAATGGGGGAAATTGTTACTGTATGTGTTTAAGAATTTTGTATTTTTTCGGTGAATAAAAATTGTATTTAAAAAAAAATAATCTAATTTTGGTTTTGTCAGAACTCCAAGATCCACCAGCTGGAACAAGACATAACCACACACATTTAGCATGAAAATAAAAGCTACCGCTAAATAGCCAACCAGCATAGAAGATGGTTTTTGAGTATCACAACTGAGCTGAGTCCATACTCACTCCATATAAAAGTCCACTTCTGATTATCCCAACTTTTTTGGGAGGGTTGATGCACCATAATTTAGGGGCAAGGGATAATTTTGTTGTCGCTCTTGTTAAACAATTGGAAGTCAGAATACCTTGATGATCCACTGAAAACAGCCCAGAATTTGAAGAATGGGATGGCAGCAGGAGGTGGAAGTTGAAGGCAGTTGCTTCAAACCTGTCAGCACTACTGTGGGGGGTTGCAGACTGCCAGAAATAGTGTGAATTCAGTCCACTTTTAGGGTTAGGGTTAGTGCTAGGGAATCATGGGAACTGTTATTTTCCTGAGACATTGAGCCTTCTCTGTCAGAGAGCTCTGGTGCCACAATAAAATACAGTTCCCATGGTTCCCTAACTCTAACCCTAACCCTAAAAGTGGACTGAATTCACACTATTTCTGACAGTCTGCAATCAGCATTTGCCTCCAATCATATTTACACTACAGAATTATAGTGCTATTATTCCACTTTAAATGCCAGAGTTCTAGCCTATGGAATCCTGGGAACTGTAGTTTGATGAGGCATTGGAACACAGTGCCTGAGAATTTTCTAAATGTTCCTCCCTAAATTGCCAATCCCAGGATTCCATGGGATGGAACCATGGCAGTGGAAGTGGAATGATAGCACTATAATTCTGTATTGTGAATGGCCTCTTGGTTAGACAGCCATTCTGCTAACTTGTATTACAGATGTAGTTTCGGAAAATAATCTGTACATGCTCAGATGTGTCACAGGTGAATCCTAAATTGGACTTCCTGAGTTTAGCCCATGGGTACATTGTTGTTGTGGAGATCCCTGGTGGCACAGTGGTTAAATGCCAGTACTGCAGCCACTCACTCAGAAACCACAAGGTTGTGAGTTCAATCCTAGCCAGGGGCTCAGGGTTGACTCAGTCTGGTATCCTTCTGAGTTCACTGAAATGAGTACCCAGCTTTTTTGGGGGGGGCAATTGTTTTACACATTGTTAACCACTTAGGGAGTGCTTAAGTGCACTGATAACTGGTATAGAAATGTACTTGCTCTTGCTGTTGCTCTTGCTGTGCTATTCAGTCGTTTCTGACTTACGATGACCCTAAGGCTGGGGGTCTTCATCATGGGGCTTTCTTGGGAAGTTTTATTGAGAAAAGGGTTTGCCATTGCTGTCCTCTGAGGCTGAGAGAGTGTGAATTGTCACCCAGTGGCTTTCATGGCCAAGATGGGAATTAAACCTAGTCTCCAGACTCACAGTCTAACATTCAAACCATTAGACCATGCTGGCTCTCATGGTACATACCAACTTTGTAATGTTGGGATCTAGTATACCTACTAAACTTCTCTCTCTCTCTCTCTCTCTCTCACACACACACACACACATAGCAAAAAGGTCTGAAATACCATTAGGCTGAATTCTGAGCTACCAAACAGGGTCCTCCAAACACTTAGGGGGGTTGCAGACTGCCAGAAATAGTGCAAATTGAGTTCACTTTAAGGGTTAGTGCTAGTGCTAGGGAATCATGGGAATTGTGGTTTTTTTCTGAAACATTGAGCCTTCTCTGTCAGAGAGCTCTGGTGCCACAATAAAATACAGTTCCCATGATTCCCTAACCCTAACCCTTAAAGTGGACTCAATTTGCACTATTTCTGGCAGTCTGCAAAGGCCCTAACTCTTATGGATCAGCCCATATAATTCCATATAATTCTTTCAGCATCTGCAATGGGAAACATGCACAGTGAATAAAAGCAAATTTAACTCCCCCAACAGTGGTAGAGCTTTAGACTGTGGGGTGTGAAAATGAATGCCAACATTCATTTGGTTAATTGACATGACTGTGATAAATCAACTACCTGCACAAGCATTTAGCTGCCCAGTTGGGCAAATTGATCCCACAGAAAAAAATCAGTGGCTCACTCTGCAGTTTGTGGTGAGAATCTGGTGGGAACCACAGTGGTGTGGGAAATGTAGACCTTCCCTCCTATAGCCCAAGGCCATGTAACCAGAGAGAACATTTTGCTTTGTTTGCTCCTCTGTGCAAAGGATATAGAGTTAAGTGAGATCAAGCTTCTTAGCCAATGGCTTAGTCACTTCATTGACATAAATATCTTGAGATAGTTTTATGTGAAAAGGAATTGGATGGAGATAAAAGAACTATAATTTACATCTACTTCTTAAGAGATTTCCCATTTGTATTGTTCCATCAGATTTACTTTCCCTCCCCTAATATGGTAGCCATGTTATATGTGTGTTTTGAAAAATCTGTCCAATCAGCTGTGACTTGAAGTTAGATTATATATTCTTAAGGCAGGCAAGGGAGGAAGGTTGATTTTTGTACTATCTACAATTGTAATGGGAACTGACAGAAGGTGATGGGCTGGTGATTTCTAGCCGGGGAGATGGGCCCTTAAATGAGGGATGTGGAAAATGGTTTCAGCAGCTGAAGTGTAAGCGACAAAAGAAGACTAAAGGTAAAATCCATTTATTTCTGTTGGTGCAATGGGAACAACTGATGGAGTGGAATCTCCACTCTGCATCTCCCTCCTCAGAAGATTAACGATGAAAGATATAATGGCAACAGGACGGTTTTATTGTGTAATAGGAAAGTCCTACTGAGTCAGAGACCATCCTAGTTCAAGAGGAAAATCTTACTAAGCAAGTTGAGAAAGTCCAATGGGTAAGTCCTAGTGAGCAAATGAATATCATGTTGAATGGGAACCCCAGCCCTTGCAACTGTTCCTACCTCTTTCTTCACAAAGAGGGAAAGGGATCCTGTAAAAAATAATTTCAGAAACTATCAAACGTTGACATCATGGGAAAGGAGGCTGGGTATCTGGGAAGGTCCAAAGGGATAGACTGAGATTCCTGGGGGCCTATTTGGCTGCAAGGCAGAAGGTTCTTCCCCTCTGACTTAGGGCCTTTGCAGACTGCCAGAAATAGTGCAAACTGAGTCCACTTTAACTGCCCTGACTCAGTGCTAGGGAATCATGGGAACTGTAGTTTATTGTGGCACCAGAGCTCTCTGACAGAGAAGGCTCAATGTCTCAGAAAAAAATACAATTCCCATGATTCCCTAGCAACTGTGTCCATTTTTTAAAAAAGCACTTTTAGTTTCTAAATGTGGGGGGATTACACTAAGTTTTTGGTTCCTCCCTCCCGGCCAGTGATTCACTTACCATATATATTGTATATAATTCGACCTCATGTATAAGTCAAGGGCAGGTTTTAGGGCCAAAATCCTGCATTTTGATACCGCCTGTAGATAAGTTGAGGATAAAACTTAGGGACATGTAACAAAGGATGTAAAGGACAAAGCAAAGGAAAACAATGCCAAATAAATTACAAAATTATGACAGGCACAACTAAAAGCTTGATGGATGAGGAGGAAACTGTAGTAAATGGTGGTTGTGCGGGCAGGGCTAAGAAAATGTAGACATGTTTTAAAAAGGATGTAAAGGTAAAGCATTGACTCTTATCAAAGAAAGTAGGGTAAGTATTGTACCTTAACTCATGCCAAAAAAGGAACCATCTCCTTGTTTCAGTAGAGGGGCAAAAGGCGAGAGCTTAATTCATTCTAGGAGAACCTAAGAAACACTGACCCCCTCGACTCTCTTGGCATGCCTTTGAGGAGAAGTGCCAAAGAGTTGCTGCTGCCTCTGCCACTATTTTCCCACCTGGGCATCAAAAAGCTCAGAAGTAGTGCCGTCCCAGAGAGAGTAGAGGAGATCTGTGCTTCTTTTAGGTTATCCCAGGATGGATCAAGCTCTTGTCTTTCACCACTTTACTCAGAGAAAAGGATGGTTCCTTTTCATAAAAGTTAAGGTACAGTACTTACATTGACCCATGGATTAGTCAATGCTTTTGGTGGGGGGTGTCAATTTTTTGATTAAAATTTCTAGGCTTAGACATAAACTTATACAACTTCTTTCTTTCTTTCTTTCTTTCTTTCTTTCTTTCTTTCTTTCTTTCTTTCTTTCTTTCTTTCTTTCTTTCTTTCTAAGGTCTCTTCTGGGCATACAATGGACTCCTTCCTTCCAAACACAAGAGAATTACCCTCCATGCCATTTTGGAACAATTTTTCCTCCAAACATTCTTTCAATGCTTTTAGGAATCCTGGGGTACCAAAAAGTAGCTTTAGGGGTCCACAGGCAACCACACCTTTCCAACGGTTAGATAATGCCTCAGAATCTGGCCAAGATTTTCAGTATGAATAACTTACTTGGCTTTCTTTAGTGAAACTCAGGCTGCTCTCAGCATGTTCATTCTGACTTGCCAGGAAATTTACATGGATGTTGCAGTCAATCAGAAGGTTACTTTGGGAACCAATTAAAGTCTTTAAAAAAGCCCTAAGGGACCAGGAGCTATCATAGTTTCCCCCCCCCCCCTTGTGTTTCCTATTCTGGCAGCAGATTGGATCAAAATACCCCTGGAAATTGGCATTTGGCACAGGTAGAACAGCATTCAGAGCCAGATTTCTATGGAGATATGTCAGTTGTTTCTGCTACTCATGGCACACCACTTTTTTGTTTATTTATGCAGGTGTAAAACCAACCAGGAGACTGAATAAGCAGAACAAAGCTGTAGGAATGGATGTTTGCCACTGTTCACCTTTATATATGTTTTAATCCACATTGTTCTAAAAAGTCTCAGTTTCTATGATTCATGTTCCCACAGGCACATATATTGCAGAAGATACATAAAATCCAAAATATTCAATAAAAATTACAAACAAAGATATCTTTGACAGAAGTCTCTGTCCAAACAAGATAACTAGAGTGGGAACTAACATCTCATTACTGTGATGCTGAAACAAATTATTTAGGGAATTTAATTTTTTTTTTAAAATCCCAAGTCTTCATAAAATCTGGTTGCGTGCAAAAATAATGTAAAAGTATTATATTATGCAAAATATTATATTATTTGAAAATACTATAGTATCTAAAAACATAATATAATAATATAAAAACACAGGGCATTATCCAGTATTGGACTTCCCTTAGTGAAACAACACAATCCAGGTGATCTCGCTTTCTTAGTACAACCCCACCAGCAGACAGAAAAATCTGCCCCACAGAGCTGGTAAGCCGTCTAGATCTTTCTTCATAAAAGGGAGGGAAAGGGAACTGGATGCTGGATTCAGCTCAAATAAAGCATGCTCTTGGATTTAGGCCATATTTTCCTGTTTCATTTTAATGGGTGGATGGAAATTCCCAGTTATAAGTACCTGTCAATATTCTACATTAGCTATTACATATGTGTAATTAAGTAATGTCTCCTGCCCTGACCCCCTAAGTCCACCTTAACAGCCAGTAGCTGCCAGTGTCATCCCTGCACTGGGTGTCACCTGGTGCGAGTGCAGGGCTTCTGGGGGTAGGATTTCCGATAAGTTTTCTGGGAGCGGAGCTTCCAGAGGGTTTCCAGGGCAGGGCTTCCAGGGATGGTGCGCATTCCCTCTCCCTGTACTGGCCCATCCTTTTCCTGATGAGGAAAAGGATGGGATGGTACGCGGGGGATGGAGTGGTGGGGGAGAAGGCAGGCCGGGGATGGAGCAGGGGGCATGGCATGGAGGGCTAACCAGGTGTCACCCCCCTTCTGGCGTGTCACCCATTATGGGCCGCACCACTGCAGAGATGCCACTGGTAGATGCCAATCGGTCAATGAGACTGCAAGGAAGAACTCCAGCAAGGATCCTGCTTCTGATTGTCACAGCTTCATCCACTGGTGGGAAAGGGCTGGTAATGTCATCTTAGCACCCCGATTAGCAGCTGAACAGAGTTCGTTTGCTAGATGCAGGTGCTGGCTGTTACAGAGGACTGGGAGAACATTTATGTACAGTAAAACTATACATACTGTCCACTACAGTATGTACAGTCTTACTGTACATAAATGCTCTCCCAGACCACCGTAACAGGCAGCAGCAGCTGCATCGCGCTTTTCTTAATCCCATTAAATACAATGGGATTAAATGCAATGGTTGGCGCTGTGTCTTCAAGTTATGGATTTTCATAACCTAGATTTATGGATACACACTATACTTTTTTGTTCATGTAGGCAGGTGTAAAACCAACCAGGAGACTGAATAAACACAACTGGAGTGTACAGTATGCAGCATTACTGCAAATGGAGCAGTTATGGATCCATAATTCTAGGTTATGAATCCATAACTGCAAGACACATTGCCAACTTCCATTGCAATGAATGGGATTAAGAAAAGAAAGCAAAGTGTAAACAGAATCCAATTTGTCAAGGGTCATGCTCATTATAATAGTGTTTTTGAGGTGAAAGCA